AATTAACTTAAGAACACCACGACTCCGAACACGGAACACCGAATTCCTAGAGCTGCCGACCAGAATTTACAACTACTCAATGTTTGAGCCAATTAACTACATGCTCATCACATATAATGAATTTTACAGGGTGATGTGGAATATAGTAACCTGTTTCAGTTCGCTCGTTGTTATTTGCTAATCGCATGATACCTGATGACAATAAATCGCGCATGGCTTGGTGATATTTTTCTCGCAAATTTGCATCGTATTCTAAACGTCGTTCCAATTGCATGAATCTTCGGTATGCTATTTCTCTTGAATCGCCCAATTGTATTTCGTTGGTCATTGGCAATCTAACAATGAATCTTCCATCTTTCGCTCTTTTGGTGGTGGCTTTGTAAAATTCTTCAGCTTTCAATTCGTCCGCTGAAAACATTCGCTCAACATCACTTTCTTCTTCTTCCTCCCAGAAACGTCGGAGGATTTCATCTAATCGCTGTGATTCTGACTCATTCACATTCACTTTCGTTATTACCAATTTCTTGATCGGTTTTTGTTGCACCTCGACTGATCCGAAGATTGCATAGCCAAATCTCGTTAATTGCGCACACAATCCTTCTCCACTCCACAATAAGTGATTCATTACAACATCCGACCATGTGTTGATACCCAGCAGAATATCCGCATATCCAGCCTTGTGAAAGTTTGGATCTGCTTTAGTAATCGATCGAAATGCTGGTATATCAGATGCACATTCGGTTTTTCTCGCAATCGGTAATTTTTTCATAATAATGCATTGTCGTTTTATCAATATTTCATCGCTCTCATCAAACCACGCACTTAGTTTGATCACCACTGCACCATAATCAATAATTTCGCTTCCAGTTATGCCTTCAACTTCAATCGAAAAGTTTGTCTTTAATAAATTCGCTCGATTTGCACATTTTTCGGTAATAATGTCTCCCTCTGAACCTGAATCAAATAACACTCGCACCAGCATGGTTGTACCGTTGTTGCCGTGTAATTTAACGCAGGCAGTTGTCAGTATAGGCGCTCTCTGACCCTGCGATACTAAAAATTTTGAGGCCGATTGCCGTTGTTGTTCATCCAGTGGGGCTGATACGTGACAGTATCATTCGATTGTTGAGCCACTGTACTTGCGTGAGGCTCTTGATTCGATGTCATTGTGCCTTGAGATGTCGATGTTCCGGAGGGCATATCAAATTTAATCGCTCTTGACGTCATGACATTCGTGTTACAAAGTAATCGATTATGCTTTAAACCACGATTGCAGCGTTGGCAAGTGCCAGATTTACAGCTTTGAGAACTCGCTCTGTGATTTGGCGAAAAACAATTGAGGCATAAATTCAATTCTCGCACTCGGTTTTGTCTTGCTTGTGTGTTGAGTTTCTTGAAAATTTCACAATCGAACATTGTATGCGCTCCTTTGCAGTTGTAACATTCAACGGCTTTACCGTTTGACTTTGACGATGACATTTGCTTTGGTGGTTGACTTGAAGTGTTTGGTTTTTGTTGACTGAATTGACCTTTGCTTGATTTCTCTTGGTTCGATGTGTTCGATGAATACAATAAACCTCGCGCTCTTTTCTCTAAAAATTCCCATACTTCGGCTAACGTTGGCATATCTTTCAAATCGTATGTGGTTTCCCAAGCGGTCACAGTTCTTGGTGGCATTCGAGTGCTTATGCCATAAATGAAGATGTGATCCCAATGATCAACTGGTGAACCAATCACTTTCAATTGTCTAATCGCCCGTTTGGAATTGTCGATGATTAATCGCAGACTTTCGTATGTTTCATGTGACGCAACTGGTGTTTTATGCCAATCGTCCAAATATGCCATGATGATTCGATAACGGTTATCATAAACATCTTTCACTGTTTGGTATGCTGCTTGATA